TGGTGGACAGGTTTCAGCAGAGCTTCCAGACTAGGACAGACTTGGAAGAAGGAAGGGACCATCCACTTCTCAAGGAACTGGCCAGTGAAAACCTTATGAATAGCAGTGAAACACTGTCTGATATATTGCTGGAAAACTTAATGAATAGTTCTGAAACATTGTCTGATATAGTGCTGCAAGATGAGCACCTCAGGTCAGAGACACTCAAAATACAACTGCAGAAGAGCTGTTTCCTCAGAGTAGAGCTGACCTTAATGATGTGGATGGAATAAAGCTTTCAGGATGTCCATTTGCTGATGTGGCACAAGTCAAAATGAGAAGAAACAGCTGCAAACATCCATTAATAATCAGAACATGTAATGTACGAAGTATGAGCCTAGGAAAATTGGAAGTTGTCAAAAATGAAATGGAACGCATAAAGACTGATATCCTAGGCATTAGTGATGAAGGCTAATGAAAGTGCCACGGACTGCCAGAAGAACAAACAAATCTGTCCTGGAAGAAGTGCAGCTGGAATGCTCCTTGGAAGGGAGAATGGCCAGACCTCGTCTCACCTGCTTTGGTCAGGTTGTCAGGAGGGACCATTCCCTGGAGAAGGATGTCCTGCTTGGTGAGGTGGAGGGTCAGTGAAGAAGGGGAAAGGCCCCAGCGAGATGGGTTGGCACAAGGGCTGCAATGATGTGCTCGGGTATAGCAAGTATCGTGAGGCTGGCACAGGGCCGGGCAATGCTTCATTCTGTTCATAGGGCCGCTATGACTCGGAGACAACTCGATGGCACCTAACAAGAACAACAACAACAATAACAACAACAACATATCTCTCATGGAAAGTCACTTTGGTGCATGTGTTTAGACAATTCATTCTTGCTAATACCTAGCATTCCATTGTATTAATTTGGTAGAATGTATTATCTATTCTTAAGTCAATACCCACTTCTTCTCCGGGATTCTGTTAGTAGAAACTTCACTGCGCCCTTCTACCTGTCTCTAGGCATGTGTGTGCACCAGTCTCCCTTCCCCTGGGCTGTGACGACTGAGTCTGAGAGTTCACACATACTTTGCATGATAACAACAAAGTAAGCAGTGTAGAAGAAGAACAATAAATAATATCCATTATCAGTCCCAAAGTAGGCAGTCCCACCCTCGTGCAGGAGGGTTTGCTCACACTCCACGTCCAGGACTGTAACTTACATATAATATCCCTCTAAATTTGCTAGTCTATTAGGGTAAAATTGTACCTCATAGGAGCTTAGCCCCGAATCCTTCTGGTTACTAAGGAGATTGAGCAAATTCTATGTTTACAGACCACTAGCATGTTCAATAAACTCCATTTTCCTATCATTTCTTTTTGGGTGATTGTCTGTTATTATTTTTTGGTAGTTTTTTATGCATTTGTACACCAAAAATCTGTTCCTTATAGGTGTGGCTAATATCTTATTTTGAGGCTGGTGCTGTCACTACATTTATGATGGTTTGTGCTGCACATGATTCCTTACCCCAGTAGCATTTATCATTCCTTTCTTCTGGGTATACCTTATTCAGTCTTTATAAGAGATCTTTCTCTTAGCCCAAGTTTATAAAGATATTCTCTCACTTTCTTTACTAGACTTTTACTATTTTGAATTTTGCATTTAAACATTTAATCCACTGACAATTTAATTTGTTTATGCTGTGAGTAATGGTTTAATTTCTCATTTTTCTTTTTTTCTGTTGGTGACCTCTTGTTGCAGAATAACTTAGTGCATATTCCATCATTTCCTCAAATATCTGCAATGACAACTTTGTGTTATTTTAATTCTTTTATTTATTTTTATTTTTATTTTTTTAGCTTTTTTTAAAAAATTTTATTTTGATTTGGGTGAAGATT